CCTCCACCGTCGGCCACCGCAATGGGAACACGGCCGCCGCTGGTGGGGCGCCCCGCAAAGTTACCAAATCGCTATGGCGTAACATTTTGCTTATTCACGTTCGATTATACAATCCGGCACACTTTTACTCCCGAGCGGTCTGCCTGCTCCTCTCGCCGCGGTGACACCCGCTTCGTTCCTCGGCCCCGTACGCGCGCGGATTTCTTCCCTCCACGAACGACAAAACCCGCTCCAATCTGGACACCAGTTACGCCTCGGAACGGTTTCAGCTGCCGTTCGTCCCAATTAAATAATCAGCGGTTTCGTGCTGACAGTAAGAAACCTCAGGTATCCCGATGTTTATCATTCTGGACCCGATACGCACTGATTTCTGCACGCGACACACGCTTCGAACCAGCTGCTCGCCTCGGCTGAATAATCGCGCCGTGTCTCACTCGGGCGGCTTCGAGTAACGCGAGTGCAATACGATCGATCGTGATCAGAAGTGAGGGTAGGTTTGTTTGGAATTTGGTATTTTGGCCGACAAGGTGGATTTTTTCCAAATTTTGTTCCCCTTTGTATCGATGAACTATTCGCTAACAATAAACATATTTCTACGAACATTTTGTGTTACTTTACTCGCCGTGTCTTCTAAACTATTTTACGTTTCTCTATTTTATCCATCGATGTTGTTGACGTCAAATTACACATCTGAGAATGTAAATACCGTTAACTAATCGCTTACGATTGATACGGATGTAAGCAAAGAAACGAGCAATAAATAATAATCGAGTTAATAAACAAACACGCGTTCCCGATGGAATCCTGAAACGAAACGCTCGGGAGCGACTTTCTTTCGACCAGGTTTTCATCCGTAGAAAAGATTCGCCTAGATCGAGGCTGAACGCGTTGCCACGCATCTGGAACACTTTCAATCAGGGAAAGTCCGGACGATGTCTCGTTGTCGATTAACCGTGGACGGAAACGACTGTGACGCATTGGAAATTTATGACCGACACAAATTATCAATAAACGCGATTGGATTTCTTCTTATTTGCTCGAGATATGATAAAAAGCCAACCAATTAGTTGGAAAAGTAGGAATACAATGCTACTTTCGCATTGGTGATGGTGCGATGGCGATCTGAGAGGAAACGTAATTGAAACGATAAGAATTATGTGAATATTTACCGGGCACCTGTAGACGTCAGGGGAACCCGAAGATCGAATGTTTTGGGAGTAAAAAGGCAACCAAACGCTTGCGCCAACTACAACGTCACCTAATGATTTCGTCTAATCCACTTCTAAACTACTTTAAGCGGATCTCGAATGAAACAGATAGCGAGTCTTCGATGAGTAATGTCCTTACAGTAGCCAAAAAAATCCTGAAGCCTAATCTTTTGGTCTCACGATGGGGGAGACGTCAATCACTGAGAGACATCGTCGATCATTGTCACGTTTACCCTAATTGATAACTGACCACGGTCGATCGGAGCGAATTTCACTCTACCTTTTCACTTCGAGCCTCTTTTCAGTGAACGATCCTCGCCCGAGCGGTTGCAACCTTGGCGTCGATCCAATTCGAGCACGGCTGCTCGAAATCACGACCGGGAGCCAGGTGTGCCCCAGCGAAATCAGCTGTCGTTCCATCGAACATGATCGGAAAGACGAAAAAGAAGCACGCGATTGCGCGATCAGGGACACCCCTCCGTCGATTCCAGCCTGGTTGCCATTAATCGGCTCGTTAAGGGAGGCACTTCGGTTTGGCGCTTCGAAAAACCTCGATTCTTTTTTTTCCGCATAATTGTAACGATGTGCTCCTGATTCGAAGTTCTCTATTGAACTTTTACGAAATATAATACGTAAATACAATCTTTGATGAGCAAACGATGAGGGAACGCAGCTATCGACAGACTATCGACAAACTACACATTTTCCACTAATCCGAATTTGTAAAATGCACTCCGAGGAAGCCATAAACACCGTTTCTTACAGAACTGTTTGTATACCTCTGCATCGATCCCCGTTCTTGCAAAACAAACAATATCGCCTCGGTTATTGTATAGAGTAAGAACAAGACAATAGAAGGACCTTCGCCACGAATTTATTGGCCATTACTATCATTTCGTTTGCGCAGAAGATTACCATTGGAGCGTCTCACCTTCCCTGTCATTAGTTACGCAACGGAGAGTCGTTATTGGTATCAAGACAAAAGGGACGAGGACGCGAAAGACGAATCCGCCACGCGAACGCGCGTTAAATGGGACGCCGCGATAAAACCGGCGTGAAAACTCGCGGGTTGGGATGGGGATCCGTGGAGGGTAGGGGGTGGGGAAGAAGATCGGTGGATCGAGTCGATCCTATCGACGCGCGGCGATGGCAGGAAGCAAATCTGGGCCGTCGAATCAGGGAAAAGTAAGTGGGTCAAGAGAACGAATGCTCGGCTAACGTCGGGCGTCGTTGCGACTTCTGCCGACTACGAGGATGACGACACGCTCGATGCACAGGTACACCGACCAAAACACCTCCTCTCTTTCGCCGTTTTTCCCCCCTTCAACGAGGGAAGAGGGAGGAGGCGTTGTGCACCCGGACACTTGGAGTCCTTTCACTTCGCATCTGCCTGCCACGAGGAAGTCGCGGGTTCTCTGGGTCTCTGCGTTCCTGCGCCTCTGCCACCCCCTTCTTTCCTCGTTTACCGGAGAACTAGACGACGTTTCCCGCTTGGCGTTCGCCGCCAGTTACGTGGAAATTGAGCACGAGCTTGGCTTGACCGATATTCCTAGCGCCCCGGCGCGGTTCTCGAGCGTCGTTTTAATTGGACCATTCTCCGCGACGAACGCAATTAAATTCTGAAGCGCAAGCGGCCACGGAGGGGAGGCATTCCAACTTTCTTTTTCGTCGATCGAGGGGATGAACACCGGCGGGACGGAGGTCAAGTTTTTGTTAACGAATTGGAAGGGTCGGGGGAAGGTTAGGGTAGCTAGGGGATGAAGATACTCGAATCGGACGATTGATCTGGTTCGGGAGACTAAGAGTTGGAAAAATCGGTAGAATTGAAATGTTGTATGCAGAGCGTTTAGTTTAACTCTTTGGGGCACGGTGGGATTAAGTGTCCCACCTTTTTGATGGACCGTAATGCATGGTGGGACATTTTTAATCCCATCTCGAAATTTTGCAATAGCTGCATGTGTATAGGTTCATATTTCGTCTTATTTACGTAAAGCAGTTGGTAATATATTCCAGTCCAATGTTACAAATGTACGCACTTTTGTTGGCAACTTTCAACATGCTAATACCGGTTCAACAATTGTTGTAAGCGGAAGGTTTATTGCGATAATATTTCTTTCCTGGTTTTATGTGAAAAGTCGTAGAGGTAAGTTAATTTATATAAAAATTAGTTCTATATGAACAAGTGAAGTGTTTTATAATAAAAACTAAGGATTAAATTTGTTTGCAAATGATGAAAGTATGGTGGGATTTTATTCGTCCCACCATGCAAACTGGAGAGTAATACAAAAAAACATATTTCTATTTAATATTCTTAAAACTATAAATGTGATGCCCTTTGTTATTATATTCATTTTGTTACATTACGTGATACCTTTATTAATAAAAATATAACAATTTTGTTTGATTTAAAACCCAATAAAATTTCTGTGCAACATGGGTCTATTTTATGACTTGAATTTCTGTGCCGCAAAGAGTTAAAGGAGAATGGTTACCATATCACGAGGGGATGAAGCTATCGAAACAAACGTTTTCATGATAGTTCTTTGGTGCAAAGGGGGACTCGCGCATTCTGCTTTGAACGATACATCCTGTAGTTGGGAAAAGATGTAGAATAGCTGTAGAAAGAAGAAACCTATAAAAAATTCTCATTGTTCTAACTAGTAATAATGAGAATTCCCCCTTTTGCACTGACGAGAACAGGATGTCTCGATGGATGAATAACGACCAAGGATTAAGAGTATTCATTGGGATTCGTATTGCGGTCGAACGCGGTCATCGCGCAAAGCGGTGTTAAAGCGTTACAAGTTGTTTTCCTTTCTTCGAAACCATCGAACGTCGCGATGCGCCTTATGATTTACGTAATCCGTGTGTGCACGCTTCTGCATCGACAGTTGACGTCGATCGATATCGAACAATAGCGGAAGACAGTCGCGACGCTCTTAAAGAACAATCGTTCCAAATTCAAGCAAGGAACTACGGTCTGAGTCGTACGAGCTTCTTTACTTTCTTCATGGATTAGAATGCACCTTTAATTTTCTTCTACGATAAGATAATGCTCTTCTAATTCTAAATATGAACCTACTCTTTCTAATCGAGGTAGATTGTAGATACTTATAAAATTTACGATTATTTTTTATACGTTTTTTTTTTCTAATCAGATTTTTTATTATGTACTATGCTATGTCTGTCATATTGAAGTAAATATTGATCATGTTTGTTTCAAACCGTGCCGAACTACGTTAGTTTATAGAATATTATTAATCGACTGAACGTTTACAAATACGAGAGCTCGCGGTATTCTAACGGTTGACGGACACGGTTAGACAATTACCCCATTGTTTTCAATGATTTCGAAGAAAATTACTGGTGACATTGCTCGCGGACCACCCAATGGCGCCGATTCATCGATCGGTTCGTTCGAATAGTCTCCTTTCTCCGTGCGAGCGTTGGAGGGACATTATTTACCGAATGTAATTGCCTAAGAGGCATAAATATTTTTTTCCCACGCAGGTGAGATCAATATCCAGGACAAGCCGAAATAAATCCGAGCCTATCGTCTTTGCGTCATCGCGTATCGTATCTCTCGATGCAGCCGCGAGATACTGAAATTACCGATTAAAGAGAACACTTCGATGAAAGGAGAAAATTATGGAACCGACAATTTGTTATGCGCTGCAATGTGCATAGGTAAGAAACTTGAGTCCCACTTTAAGGGCCCAACTTTTTTTTGGATAAATATAATAAATACTGAAAATGCGATAAGCGAACGAGATAAAATATCGTTGGACTTACGTGTAGGAGGCTGACGGTAATGTAGGTGTTGGAGACTCTGCGTTTGATGGTGGTGGTGATGGTGAGGCGGTCCCATCGTCGGGCCCATCGCGTGGTTCCCGTGTTGATGGTGAGGCGAGCTCCCTCTGTGCGGATGGTACTGGGAGGGATGATGTTGATGGGGATGATAGGAGGGCGGCAGGAAGCCCGCCGTCGACGGATAAACGCCAGGACTGTGACAGGCTGACCTGCCGAGTGCTGCTGTCGGACATTCGATAAAGACGTTCAATGAGAAAAGACGGATAACGCTCGAGGGAACGTTTTGTATACGTCGAAACGACTTTAATCGAGCGAATAAGTGACAATTCCAAAGCGCGATTCGTCACAAATTACCGGTCTTCCCTTTTCTTTATACGCACACGACGGAATTTGCCTGTAGTAAACTCATTTACTTTTTATGTATCAGTTAACTTTTCCAAACACCTTATCCTTCGCGTATCGTAATTAACACTTTTAAATATGTTTCTTTTTCTACATTACAGTCGTCGAGTATCGTATCGTTTATGACCAGTAATTCCCACTTTCAAATATCTCTTCTCCTATGCATCGCAATTGTTACATCTCATCTCTTACATACTTTGTATATTGACACTTTGTCAAAGACAAATGTTTGTTACGGTCGACATCTAGCGATAAAAATTACTCGCGCGAACCCAAGTGTTCGTAGTATATCTATCTTTATCGTTACCTATCGAGGGACGAATTCGAAATTTGTATAATTCTGTAAGGTCTATAAGATTTTGCGAAGCGTCAATTAGGCGATCTGTGCTTACCTGACGACAGATGAGAATGATGAGACGCCAGACTCGGTTGGAGGGACGTGTTAGGGTTTAGCCTGGCCTTCAGTAAGAGATTCGCGTCCTCGTTACCGCCCGAGGACGTACTGGACTCGACGTCGCTGACTCCGCTGTCCGCGGGACTCGCTGGCAGTGATCCGCTTCCTGTTCCCATGCAACAAAAGAGAAACACGCTTCCTTTGGTAATTGCGTCCATCGCACGATCAACGTCGAGTTGGAAACTCGGGGCCCGGCGGGTGGAACGATTTCGCAACGCTTCGCTCGCTTCCCTAGCCGTGTCTTTGCACGGAATTACCAAACCGCAGAAAACAGGCGGTAGCTTCCGTGTATTTCGCGATAACGGACGATTCAAGTTCAATTTTCTGTGATGCGAGTCTCACATGGGACGCTCGAGGAGGTATATCGCTTGCTAGACCGAGAGTGAGGCTGTGGAGACCTCACTCTCGCTTGGGCAAACAGTGTTCTGGATGCAAACGAATGCAGATGATACAAAGAAATTGTTGTTCTGAGTTTAGATGCTTCGCGTGGTGAAAAGGAAGTTTCAATTGGGAGCATAAATTCGCGAAGGTGCATCGTTCGTTTTGGGTCGGACGAAATAATAGTGGGACTGGGAGCTCGGCAGAGATGGGCAAAATTTCATTCCAGTAATAGGTGAATTTCGTGAAGCACTCTGTGTATATAAACATTTATACATCCAGTTTAAAGAGATGTCAGTGTTATTAAAAAATGTTTAAATTCAGGACATCCATAGTTCTAATACGATTGCTGACTAATCGATTTAATTGGAAAGAAGGTAGAATATATCATGCTTCGTCGATATTACTAAAATTAATATCGAAGTATCTAACTATCTAAGTAACATAAATCCATGTATGGTTCTACTCCAGAATAAATCCCATCATCTTTTCACTGTGATATATCTCTACCAATAATATTAAATGTAAAAGACCAACGATTAAGCAGCCTCTTAAATATAAATCTACATAACAATTTTGCCCATCTCTGGTCCCCACCGCAGCTCGCAAGACGGTCAAATTTCAGCGCGACGACGTTCGCTCTTGGAACTCATTCCGCTCGGTTTCTCCGGTCTTTGTGCCGGCTGGGAGCAAATTAAACGCTCCGAGGTGGTCTTCGGCTCGCAGCAGCGGCTCCGAAGCGTCGAGGGAGCTAGCTTTATGGAGCACCAGACCGCCGAACGTGTTTTCGCGCGCGCCGTCAATTAAAGGCATCTTTATGCAACGGGCGAAGGTCATCCGGTCATTGGGTATGCATTACGCTCGCGCTTCCCACGGTCTCTCCTCTCCCTCTCTCTCATTCTCTCCCGGATGACGGCGAGCCAACGAGAGAGAGAAAGCCAACCGTCTGAAACCAGTCCTAAAAGGTCCTGGACTCGCGGAGATCGGCGCTGTCTCGTCTTGGACTACTCAGCATTGAAATTTTGCAAACCTCCGCCCCTACAGGAAGACACCCCAGTGACATTCTCAGAGGGGGTATCGAAAGTTATTGCAAAATTAAAATGCAATTTGTACTTGTCGGATAAAAGTATTCTTTGCGGAATGTGATGAAAGATGGACAACTCTTTGTTCGTTACTCGTTTAAATTACTATATATCGAAACAATAGAATGAATCGTTTGTATCGTCTCCGGTTGAAAGGTTACCCACAATTCATTTTGTGTCCTTACATTTCATTAATATATATTTTGATGAAAATTTTACCGATGTTTTTACTCGTCCGTAAAATTTAATATTTCTAGTCACCGTACAAAACTTGACATACTTTTGAATCAGTGTTCTCTATTCACCCCATTTCAATATAACTGTTCGACACAGGCACTTTCAAACCTTTTTCAAAGGCGTCGTTCCAAAAATATAATATAAACATACAAATACAAAAATTATAAATCATCTTTAATACTATAACATGTCCTCTACAGCGAGTAACGAATAAACAGTGATTTCCCTATCGCTGTCAACTCTAACATTGGCATCTAAATTTGCCCACTCTGGGCCTGTGAAGCCCAGGCTCGATTCGTCCCTGGTTTTGCTCGATGGCCGCGCCACCGCAGCGGGAGTTTCCAAGCGTCGATGTCGCCGTCGCGTTATGCAAAACCGGGGCTCGATCGTGCAGGACCACCACGAGTTAGCCCCGACATTCGCGAATCTCGCGCTCGAGACGAGTGTGCTTTATGCAACGAGCGATTATTTCGGTAATCGACCTCCCCGACGAGTTCGTTTCGCCGTGGAGCTGCTTCGTTGAACCGGATCGCGCGGCTACTCCACCGTCCACGTGGTTGCGCAACCGCGTTCTGCAAAGGTTCGGCTATCACGTGCGCCGATTCGTACGGTACCTTGTGCTTTTACTTTTGCTCTGGACGTTCAAACCAAACCGATAAAGACCACTGGGCGCGCGTTATGCTTTAAGCCAGGGGTCAGTATATTATATACAGTGGGTGTAGAATGTATTCGTACACCGATCAATTTCCCCCAAAAATTTGGGGGAAATTGTCGTTTATTAACTTCTTTTTTTATAATCAATGATATTTTACATATTCTCGGAAATCTCTAAGATAGATATAGTCCAAACAACATTTACTAGTTAATATAATTTGTGAAATTAACAAAAAAAATACGAAAAGTGGGTAAAACTATAGAAGTAATAAGTATTTGTACGATTCTTACGACGAACCATTTACAGTAGAGTTTGTAACGTAAACACAGTAGTTTATTGCTCCGTGCGAATTAGAAAACATCAAATTTTCAGTAAAGTACTTTTATAAAAGGTTCTAATAGAGGAATGGAAAAAGATCACACTTCGAATAACTAATAATTTACTTAATCTAATGCTTAGAAAAGTTACTATAATTATAAAATCAAAGGAAAATCTCACGAAGTAAGTGTTATATACTTGTAAATTAATGTAAATTTCCTTTGTTTTTAATGAAGTTTTAAAAATTAAACAGTTGTGCGAATACTTATTGCTACAATATTTCTATCGATTAATTGTTTTTTTCGTGTTAATTTCGCAACTTACATAAATATCTATTTTTTTTTTTTTTTGTAATCTATCTATTCTAGAGATTTTCGAGAATATGTAGAATGTCATTGTTTGTAAAAAATAAGTTAATAAATTGCAATTTTACATAGTTTTTTTGGAAATTGATCGGGGTACAAATACTTTCTACACCCACTGTATATATAATAGTGGAATTTTATATAATAGTTTATATACAAGGAATGACGCTTGCCAGTAGTTTGAATAATAGGAGATCAGCAGACTATTAACACTTTGCACTCGAAGGCTTTGTATCTGGTATCTACTAATAATTTGAGATGTTTCTTAGGATTTTATTGTCACGAATGCTAAGCTTAATCGGGTCACCTTTACCTCGTCGACAATCATTTTATCGACACTTCGAATTCCAAAGAAATTGATTATTATTGCTGGTAGATATACTACGTCAACCCTAGTGGTGACTGAGAGTCACCTCTCGAGTGCAAAGGTTTAAGAAATTCAGGATATTCGTAATTCAATTAAAAAACCTAGACCACTATGATAATTAAAAAAAGTGATAATTAATGCGAATATTGTAATAAGTGTCTAAATGATATTTCACCCAGCATTATTGAGCCTACTTGAGGATAAACTCTGAATAAAGCATATGCAACGGAAACAGAACTCACTTGTTCATTGTGGATTATATCATGTACCGATTCAAATATTCGTAATTCATAATTCAACAGATTTTTAATAAAGATACGACAATAAAATCAATTAGGATGCTGTCATTCGTATCTCTGTAATTTATTTCGTTGGTTATATCGGTGCCAAGTCTGCGTCGATATCGAGACAAAATTGTGAAAAATTGCTCAGGAGAGAAACTATTCTTGCACGTTGAACCGTGTCTGATCGTCGCACATGCAGCGACCCAATATCGGTATCCCGGTCGCATGAAAAAAAAAAAGGAAACGATCAATGTTTCAACGAGCGTCTGGTCTCGGGGGGAAATCGAATTCATTCTAAAAACGGAAGCCGCAGACGGTCGCAAAATTTTCAGGACGGTCTCCTCTAAACAAGGAAAAAATAAAAACAAGAGCGAGTGAAATCTTTTGCACCAGCTCGACGGAAAGCCGAGAAATCGATATCGCTGCTCTGAGCAACGGCTAAACAGGAATTTTCGCCTTTTTATTGCCACCTTGTCGTCTCTGGCGATTAATGTCAGCGACGGCGGGGAATCGCTAGTTGAACGCGCGGCCGAGAAACGGCCAATAGGAGAGAACACTTTACCCGACGTGCCCGTGAAAACCTGCCGAGAGGAAAGTCAAACGTTTACTGGACGTAGCCACGCCGGAAGTGATTTCCTGTCCGGTTGTTTACCGACCAACCGTCGATATTGCTCTGTAAATATTATTATTAGCCCCGGCGGCGCGTTGCGACGATGGAAAATCGATCCTCGACCGTACCGTGTTCGCGAAAATTCCCTCCGAATCGGTCATCGGGTGAAACTGTTGTCTGGATACAAATTTCGAACGAATGGAAAGTAAAATAAAATTAGAAATTAAAATTTGAATCACTGAATGAAATATTTCACGGTGAACAAGTGAACTTTGTTAAATCCTGATGGGGACTTGCTGGGTTGAAATCATTTAGACAGTTGATTGTTCGCCTTAATAATTATTACACATCGTGGAGGTTCTACTTTCTTTCTAATTGAATCGACCGTCATGACATTGGTTTTCATTTCTACATAGTTAAAGGTAGCATGAATGATATTTTGCGTAGTTGGAATTAGTTAACAAAGTTATAAGTTATATTTATGCGGAGCAAAGAATAGTTTCGTTTCATTTCTGCATTTCTTCGAATAAACGTTACTACTGCATCGCTGCAGATTTGCGCATCTATACGAATAAAATTTTGCCCGTATTTGTCAAGATCATCTTTTGAAGCAGTTCAGAGGAAACTCGGCAACATAGTATCGCATCATAGTATCGTTTCACTTTTTTCACGGCTGTGTGCAATCCTTTCCAATGCTTTCTCCGCATTTCTATTGCACCCATGTCGAGCTTTGACGCAGCATCGTTTGCTTTAGATATCTCAACGCGACAATTTTCGATTCGAAACTTGTATCAACGCAAGTAAATATTTTTAAATGGGTGCCGAGTTCGGTGTTTTATATGTAAATTCGATAAGCAAATTCAAATGAGAAACCCTTACTAATTTTTTTTATATTCCAAATATTTCCTATTAAAATATAAAAAATATAATTGCTTAGGTACTCGCACACTGGAATGATATTTACAGTAGGTGTAGAAAGTATTCGTACACCGATCAATTTCCAAAAAAACTATGTAAAATTGCAATTTATTAACTTATTTTTGATAAACAATGACATTCTACATATTCTCGAAAATCTCTAGAATAGATAGATTACAAAAAAAAAAAAAAAAATAGATATTTATGTAAGTTGCGAAATTAACACGAAAAAAACAATTAATCGATAGAAATATTGTAGCAATAAGTATTCGCACAACTGTTTAATTTTTAAAACTTCATTAAAAACAAAGGAAATTTACATTAATTTACAAGTATATAACACTTCCTTCGTGAGATTTTCCTTTGATTTTATAATTATAGTAACTTTTCTAAGCATTAGATTAAGTAAATTATTAGTTATTCGAAGTGTGATCTTTTTCCATTCCTCTATTAGAACCTTTTGTAAAAGTACTTTACTGAAAATTTGATGTTTTCTAATTCGCACGGAGCAATAAACTAATGTGTTTACGTTACAAACTCTACCGTAATTATTGCTTCTATACTTTTACCCACTTTTCGTATTTTTTTTGTTAATTTCACAAATTATATTAACTAGTAAATAATGTTTGGACTATATCTATCTTAGGGATTTCCGAGAATATGTAAAATATCATTGATTATAAAAAAAGAAGTCCTCGTCAATTTTTATGACTGGTGAAGGTGACGCTATTATTTGTTCCAAGTTTCGATTTCGAAGGGTTTACCGGACTTTCATGGAGGATAAGGGAAATATGATCGTCACGAACCTGGCGTACTCGTGGTGGCGATAGTGGCAGTGGTGTAGGGCGGTTGACCCATCTGAGCATGGCCAGCCAAGTGGCGCCCATATCCATTCTGCACCCCTAAATTGTGCTGCTGGGGGTGCTGTGAGAGAATACCGTGCAACAGACGAGTCCCCGTGGAGGTCGTCGTCGTCGTCCCGGTCGATCCTGGCTCTACCTTAACGCTCGCCAAGCCTAATTGCTCCTTCTCGCTCGCATCGTGCGGTTGGACCTCCCTGGTGTCCACTGGAACACCAAACATCGATTGGAAACGTTAGCTATATATAAGATATCTATATTAGTGTATTGAAATCGTTGAAACGTTGAATCGTTGTAATGTTTAAAATACAATTAGTAATTTTAAATTAAAAAAGCAAGTATGCGATGCAATAGTAATGCTTGCATAAGTAATGCTTGCGCTGGATACCCGCATTTTTTAAATTACATTCCCGGTATCTGTGACAGAAGAGATAACACCCAATTATAACAATATTATGCCCATACATTACGGATGAACGGACGGATTTTAATGAACAGTTAATGGCTAGCTGACGCTATTTTATTCTAATTTGTGTTAGCTCTCCGGAATAAATTGTATAAGCTGGCTCACATCGCTTTGAAATTGTATCAGGGTTCGGTTTATACACGTTACTCCGAGGAAGACCTACATATCGCAAAATTCCTAACGTTACTCGAATGGTCACTCAACCCGAATTCGTTCGAATCTGAATACGTCTTGCTCGTCAGAATAATTTCTGTAAATTGGCCCACACCTCTGACAACAAGTACGCTTCGAAATTGCGTTTGTTCTCGATCCAGAGAAATTATACCGAGGTTGACCTACATGTTGCTCGGAGAACGTTAAGGTTATAATAGATGCCCGGTAACACAGCTCGAACACGAATCTAATTTGTATACGTTTGCGGCGAGGACGGATCTCCACCTCGATCGTATCTCTTCGAGGGAAGAAAACGAATCGGGTGATCCAGAGTCCGTGGAAGCGGATTCCAGTGGCCGGATAGCTAGCTTCCTAACGGTAGCGCCGAGAAGGCTGAGGAAGCACGACGGGGAAAAAAATGGAGGCATGGGAGGTGTTCTCGAGGGGTATAGCGCGGCGCTGCGGAGAGGAAGTGAAAGCCGGTGTGTCTCTCCTTGACCCACTGCAACGTTTCTACCTTCCTTTCAGGCAGCGCCAACCTCGCGGCTTCATTAAGCAATTTCTCGCGGTGACGCGGGGAAAAAATCGCCTTCGCCGTGGAAAATCGACTAGCTCGGATGCTGCGTATCCTCGTCGCGCTTTCTTCCTTCTTCCCGAGATGGGCAACATCGTGTTCCAATAACTAATCGCGAACAAGACGTGTAACGGTTCGTTTATAATGTTTATTGTAGGTCAATTCTCGTGGTGTTGATCGATGTATTAAAAAAATTGATATGACTCGCGGGCGAATTAGGCATTTTTGTTTGAGCGATAACGATTGGAATTGGGATTACCGAATAATGTCTTTCTCCAAAAGTACGCTATACTTTTTATACGCTATACGATACGCGTATTACGTACGTTTAAAAAGTTTTCACCTTCTTCATACCCTCATGGTCCTTTCAGAGCGAAACATGTCGTTACACAACTCGAACGTTTAACCAGCAACGTACTCAAACTTGGCCATCATGTATTCCTTACGCCAAACGTAAATCTGTATAAGAAGTTTACCGATCGGCGTGCCTCGTCGGTCCAGCGGTTACGGCCCGTCCAGGAGGGAGAAGTGTGTCGACCGCTTTTTGCCGCGTTTACTTTTCGGCGCCCACACGGTTAAACGATCAGACTGTCGTTGCGCAATCGGATGAGGTTCGCGATATTTGCGCTCCAGACGAGTCTGCGTGTCCCGTGAGAAAGTCGCCGATGACGAAACCGTGCCAGTGGATCGGTAGAAAGATCGCCTCCCGTCGATTTACTTCCTTCGAATCCACTGACCACGGAAAGGGGAGGGGGAGAAGCTCCTCGCAGTTGTGGAAACTTTCGGTCGAAATTATTACTTAAGACGGCCTGTACTTGGTAGTCGTCGCTTTGAATGAAATTCGGCTGTGTCGTAACGTTGCCGATACTTTCGTAAAGATGTAATTATCATTCGAAGCAGATTATTTTATTTTATTTGTCACTCGGTGACCAGTTGCATGTTTAGAAATTATTAGGCTAATATTTTGTTTTATCTATATACTATCCATACTAACTCATACCAATATTATAAATGCGAAAGTAACTCTGTATGTCTGTTAACTTTTTACGCCTAAATCGATCAACAGTATTCGATCAAAGGCAAGGAGATAGTAGATTGCATCCTGAGGAAGGACGTAGGCTATATTTTATTTTGATAAAAATAAGGTGTCATTTGTAAATAAAAAATCAGAAATATCGATTAAAACGTCTGCGTTACGGAAAATAAAAGACAGTCACTGAGAGTGTCACGAAGTTCACGTGGCTGAACTGTGAATCGAACAGAAACGACATAAAATAAATAGTATTCCACGCGGGTGAAATCGCGGGGCGCAGCTAGTTTTCTAATAAACGACGAATCTATATTAGTTCTCATCTTTATTTCTCTGTTTCTTTATTTCCTAAAAAGGACACCTGAAACGAAATCAATCGAACCTAACATATTTTACACTTCATTGGTACTATACCTCCTCAGAACTCATAAATTCCAAAGAATATTCTAAATATTCCGAAGTAAAAATTCTACTATCCCCGAGGGTCTTGTAAATTGGAACAGAAAATTCGAAAATATTCAGACAAAGATTTGTGTGTAAAACGAATTACGATTACGAGAATTTCGTTTGAAATGTTCTTTTGCAATTTACAGGCATCAGGAAATAGGGCAACTTTTAAAAAGGTAAGACAGCGAGCGAACAACAGGAAGAGCGGGTCAAAACTCGACCCAGTCGAAGGCGTCGCGTTTCTCAAGGAAGTCGATCATCAGGGGACAAAGAGGATTCAGCAGGCTCGCTGGCGAGCAGCGATCCGCGATAAACATCTCGGGGATCTGACGTCAACGTAGGGGATCCGTGAATTGAATCGGTAATTATGATCACGTAGATCGAGCTTGCGGCTGTGTTTAGCCGCGCGCAGGAGACCGGCAAACGATCGGTTTCTTCTGCTGGCTTGGTCGAGGAGAACGGACTCGCGGACGCAACATTGCGCAGGAGTGGATCTACCATAAAACTGAGACCATTTTTTAATATTACCAATTGTTTTCAATTTTAAAAGACTAACATTCGATTTGAAATTAAAATCAGTTTCCGATATTGGTTGGTTTAGTTTTAGAAATTAAATTTAAAAGTTAAATTTCTGAACTTTAGTGGCCTTAGATTGAATTTTAATTTCACTGGCTGAAAATGGAATTTTGAGAAAATTCTGGTTTTCATTATTGTTGAATTTTAATGTAAAACGTAGGAAATTGAAAAACTTCTTAAGTAATCAATTTTGAAAATTAGATTTTAATATGGAGATTCGTTCGTTTACCACCTCAGAAGTGTAAAAGATAAATACTTTTATACTAATACTAATTCTAATATAGTTTTATAGTTTTCGTTACCCTTCTATATAAATGCAATTAATTGGCCATTGGAGTAATTATTGCAAACGAGAGTATATACTAACCCGAGAATGAAAATGTTTTCATAATATTTGCCTTTCATAAAGAAAATCTCTTATATAAATACACTTAATTGGCCATTAAAGCAATTACTGTGAACAAGAGTGTATACTATAACGGAGAATGAAAATGTTTTCATGATAATATTTGCCTCTCGTGAAACGTATCAGAGGAGGAAAGGGCCCCTCGGAGTAATTGCTATCAGGCCCCGGCTAGTCTAGATCCGCCATTGAGGACGAAGGAGGGAGAGAAGGGTGCTCGCGGGGCCTGAACAAAGGGAAAAACAGGAGAGGCGAAAAAGTCGGAGGGAAGAATAATGAGAGAAGTCACGGACGCCGAGCGAAACGAGCGAACGAGGCTGCCGCGAGTCCGTGCTCGTAATTTTCTGGAACAGCCAGAGTGGGCCGGCGTTACTGGCCTGACGTAAGCCCGAATATCCGGTTCTACGCGATATCCGATGCAACTGGCATTTTTGCGTTCACCGTTTTTCCTTTTTTTTTTAACGCTGGATCTAAAATACCAGGCCTCGCGCTCGAACCACTTACTCGCGAGGGCTATTATATTGTCGAAAAGCATTTTCATCAACCTCGTTTCGGACGGGCTCGCCGAATTCGTGCATCGCAACTTAACTCTTTACAATTACATAATCGAGAAACGGTTTACACGACTTCAGTATATCCAATTATTATCAAATTCTTAAAGGAAAGTAAAAGTTGGTGTTGTTATATCGAGAGAGGATAGCGGTTTTATTCATTTTGAAAGTATCGAAATTTTAAGTCGTATATTTTTCTTGTTATCGTGACGGAAGTATTGCCACTGGATCTATGAGGTTCCTCCGTTGAAAATGAGTCCGAACACGACCTCGTTTCGGCCACCTTTATTTACACGCAACTGAATCTGAATCTTTTTGTTAAAAGTGATTTTAATTGAAATCAGTTTAATTAACCCAAACGAGGTCGTGTTTGGACTCATTTTCATCGGGGAAACCTCGCCAATACGATGATGATAGTATCGTATTGCCGAGGCTTGATGAAAATGTATCGAGGAAAATACAAATTTAAATTTCTGTATACAGTGTTTGCCACTTTTTTCGCCCGCTCGGTGACTCGATTCAGGAGACATAACGGTTTTCAAAGCACCTAGAAAAATGTTTACGCGAGTCAGACACGCATCCTTCGGAGCGGAAGCGACGCTTTCGCTGGTTCGTTTCGAACGGAAGTCAAAGGAAAAGGAGATGGTATCGCGGTTGCCTCGAGTTTAAGGATCCCTCGTTGACCTCGGCTAACGCTACACCCTTAACGAGGCCGACGCCGCACCGTCGAGGGTGCATTTCAGATCAATGCTACCGCTATTATTATTCCTGCACGACTCCTCTGGTTTTTTTTTCGACGAATCGACGGTTGCAAATAAACGGCTAGTTACCGTGCAACCCCGAACGTGCTCGTTTTTCTCCACGCTTCGTCGTGTCGTCCACGTCGCAGCCGTTGGTAATAATATTGATTCGACTCGAATCGCCGACAATTTAGTCCGCAAACCTACTACTTTGCGGCGAACTACTTCCTTTTCAGAAGCAGTCGATAGAGAGGGTCGACGGTGCGT